GGGGGGGGCATGTGACATCTCTCCTCCTACATTTACAGAATGTAGGGGGGGGGGCATGTGACATCTCTCCTCCTACAATTACAGAATGCCCTGTAGCTTTTGATAAAAAATATAGTTATAAAATATAGTAAATATATAGTTCACGAACTTAATTCGTTCCACGATTCTGGTCGTGAACCAAATTGGTCGCGAACCGAATCAAACTGTGATCAGACCCCAATCTCGACTAGAGGAAGCCACGACCATGTGTCAGAGCAGGGAAGATGGCTGCGGTTGTGTTAGTCACCTGATGCGGATTTCGTGAACAGAAGCAAAATATTGCCGAACTTCCTGTTCGCGAACCGAATTGTTTCGCAAACAGAAGCGTTGGAGAACCGAGGTACCGCTGTACAAGGCATTTTGTGAATGGGCAAGTAGTGAGGAGGGCTGGAGATGTCGCTGGGGCACATCACTGCTGGTGTCGCATCCCTCACTCCTCGCAGTGCCTGGAAGCCGAGTGTTAGGGGACAGCATGCTGCAAGGTAAAGAGTTTTATACTTCGCTGAAGCCCTTCACACATACTGCTTTTTAGTGATATCATTTACACATGCAGTGTGGTGTGTAAATAGATCATTTGTTCCTAGAGTTTCCTGGTTTTAACATGATCATCCTGTAATCTCCTGCACACCAAGACTGACAGCTTAATCCGGCCTGTATTGTATTATATAGTGCTTACAGAAGGGGGAGCACAGGGAGCCGCCAATGAGCTTGCTGGTGGTGGGGAGAGGAGCAAAAAAACAAAAAGTTAGTGGCAGCCATTCTTTTTCTACGTTTGTTTCTAGGGGAAAATTCTTTAACATAAAAGTCCATCTAAAACCAAAAGGTTTTTGGTAGTTTTGGATAGCGTAAAGAAGGGTTAGAATGGTGATATCGATCTAAGGTTTCCCTAATTTTGGGGAGATTTGCTTTCCCTTCCTGTTCTTTCTACAGGATAGGAATTGAGGTACAATTATCCCAATGGGACACATATGACACTGAGTGTTGCCTTTAGATAGATACTGCCTTATAATTTTGTGTTATGTAAGATTTTATGCACAAACAAAAAGGGTCCGTGAGCCCCAAACTCAAATTTTGTCTATGGATAGAGGCTGGAAGGGCGAATCTTATATTCAATTAATAATGGCTCCAGCACGTGGGCAGTCTTGGGAATGCAGAGATACTGGGATTCCCATTACATGGAAGCAGGTGGGTGGTCCAGCGAATGCACATGTGCATAGATACTGAGATCTCTATTACATGGAACAAGCAGGAGGATGGTCCAGGGACTGCAGAGGTACAGAGCTACCAGGATCCCCATTACATGGAAGAAGCAGATGGATGGTCCAGCGAATGTAGAGGTGTCGAGATATTGAGATCCCGATTACATGGAACAAGCAGGTGGGTGGCTCAGGGAATGTAGAGGTGCACAGATATGGAGATCCCCATTTTATAGATGAAGATGGTCAGTGGTATAGGGCATGCAGAGGTGCAGACATACTGGGATCCCCATTACATGGAAGATGCAGGGTGGTGGTCCAGGGAATGCAGAGATACTGGGATCCCCATTACATACAAAAAGCAGATGGGAGGTCCAGGGCATGCAGAGGTATGGAGATTCTTATTAAATGGAAGAAGCAGGTGGCCTGGCATGGGAATGCAGAGGTGCAGAAATACCCATTACATTGAAGCAGCTGGTGGATGGTCCAGGGAATGCAGAGGTGCAGAGATACTGGGATCCCCATTACATACAAAAAGCAGATGCGAGGTCCAGGGAATGCAGAGGTGTAGAGATACTGGGATCCCCATTACATGGAAGATGCAGGGCGGTGGTCCAGGGAATGCAGACATACTGGGATCCCCATTACATGGAAGATGCAGGTGGCATGTCATGGGAATGCAGAGGTGTAGAGATACTGAAATGCCCATTACATGGAAGATGCAGGTGGCATGTCATGGGAATGCAGAGGTGCAGGAATACTGGGATACCCATTACATTGAAGCAGCTGGTGGATGGTCCAGGGAATGCAGAGGTGCAGATATCCCCATTACATGGAAGAACCTGCTGGGTGATTTAACCTGGCAACATCTATTCAAACTGCAATATCCATTTTGGCAAGAATCTATCTTCAAACAAATCTTACCAGATACTTAGTGTGAGAACGGCTTTCATTATCTACAGCTTGTTGTCCTGTCAGTACTTCCAGTAGGACCTAAAACAAATACAAACAAAAACAGATGAAATATGCAGAAAAAACTATCCATTCTGGGAACGCATGTGGAACTCATCACATATCATTACAGTGGTGCTACCCGTAGTTAGTGATATTAAAGTAAAAAGGTTTTTAAGATATTTCACATGCTGATGAAATAACTTACAATAGGTGCTGCTCTTTGATGTTTAAACATTTGAGCGGGTTTGCTACAGAATCAGCTGGTCGCCTGAGCACTGATCCTGATATCCTGTTTTAGGGTGGCTCCTTTCCCTTCCAGGGTCCTATGGAGCCGCCCTTGTGTGCTAGTAAGCTCTGTGTGTGTCTCCACAAACACACAGGTACAGCAGGACAATTTAGCTCTTTGCTACCCCCTCCTCCAAGTTAGTAGAGGTGGAGCTGCTGTGCACTGCTCTGTCCCTTGAAATCTTGTACTGGACAGGAAGTTAAGGGAAGCCAAGCTGAGAGAGTTGGAGCTGGCTGTTTGAGAACATAATCACTGTAAGTGCTTGGATGCAAATGTAAAGTAATGCTTTGCTGGCCACACCTGATGGAGCTATGCCCATCAGAAACCCCAGAGGTGGCACTTTTCTTACTGCTCCCTGGCCCGGTGACAGGAATGAAAAAGGGGCTAGTTTGTCCTATATCGGAAGCAGCAAGAGCTGTAATTAGGGATGCACCGATACCGGTAATTTGGTATCGAGTACAGATATTTTTTTTCCGCTACTCGCCAATGCCGAATATTGAGTACCGGAAGTCCCATTTAGGAAGCCAGGCGTTGTGTAAAGACTCCCGATTAGCAGGGAAGCCGTCCCCATGCTTCTTGTCACTAGGTGATGACAAAGCATGGAACCGGCTTTCTGGCCAATCAGGAAGCCGTGCAATGACGCGCTGCCTGGCTTCCTGATACTGGAAGTATCGGGCTAGGCATCGGAGCATTTGGGCGAGTATGAGTACTCGCCCAAATACTCAACATCGGCACCGATACTAGTATCGGTGCATCCCTAGCTGTAATCCCTCGATATTGGAGGTCATCGGATTTTTCTCAGACCTGGGAATGGGTCAGTGAATTAAATAACACAATGCGTATAGAGGAGCTTATTGCTCGTTCATATAAAATATATAGGCTGCTTGAAGAGAAGTGGAGACCCGGGACCGATTTCTTACGATTACCTGAGATACAAGATTATTTGCAGCTGGAATAGTGTCATATGTAAGATCCAAGAATTAACATCTTAGCCCTAAATATATACAAAGATATAATAACGCAAGTATAATAAAAAGGTGTTTTCCATGGCCATCCACCCTCCTTTTTTGGGGGGATGTGATTGGGATTTCCTTTGGGTAGGGAAGATGGGAAGGGTGGGATGGTGTGAATGAGAGAAAAGGTTTTTAGGAGAAGGTGGGTAATGATGATATGTACACAGGGAAATTATTCTGTATTAGTTATAAGATGTAGAAATCTCCTGCATACAATGGTTTACAAAATGTTGTTGCATAAGCTGAAAAATAAAATAAAAAAAAAAGATATTAAAAAAAACATGTTTTGCTGTCCAATGTATATTTGTATATTTGTTTGATCTGGATTCATTACTGAAAAGGGTTTAAGAGTTCAAAAATACTTTAAGGCAGTGGTTCTCAACCTGTGTAACCTCAGGACCCACATTTGTCCTTGGTCGCAAGTTGCACTGCAATGGAACACATGACATTGTGGTACCGCGTATTCCAATGCAGGCGATAGAACTGCGGGTGGGAGATGCAATGCACCTCCCACACCAGAGTGCATGATAGGTGCGACTGCGTTTATTGCACAGGACTGTGTGATTAACGCACTGTAGAAGTGTAAATGGGCCCTCAAAAACACTGACACGCATAACCACAAACACAATCTCACACACAGATACACACTCCAAAAAAAATGATATATTCTTTTTAATCCACCCAGTCTCCCTACCTTACCAGAACCGGAGTGGATCCTCAGCCTGGGGTCCATTGTGGACTGCTGTGCTGTGATGGAGCTCCATCCATATGTACATTGCTTGTACAGCTTCCTCACACAGCCTGTAGAGGTGCCGGGAATCAGAATGTGATGTCACTCTGGTCAAGGAACCTCTACAGGACAGGCAAGGGAGCTGTGAGCAATACATGTATGGATGGAGCTTCCTTGTGCCCACCCCACCTCAAGCTCACAGAGGAGCCTCTCACCTAGAAAAGTGGAAGGCATGCGGCGACCCACTGAACACGGGGTTGCGACCCACTTTTGGGTCACGACTCACAAGTTGAGAACCAAGGCATTAAGGTACACTCCAAATCAAAAACCATGGCTGTGTTTTTTTTTTTAATCCAGCCTTTACTACAGGGCATTGGCCCACTTCACTCCATTCTGACTAATCTGGTGGCGTAAGAACCAAAGTTTTTGATGCGGAAAAGGGATGCGTACTGTAAATTGTTGTATGAAAATGTCAGTCGATGCATTCAAGCAGTCACCAATAAAATACAAACCTGACCTGAAATGAAACAAGCATTTAAACAGCATGGGCTTTAAAAGAGTCAGACCCATCATGCATTAGACAGCAGTAATTGCTGCATAGCATTAACAGTATACAGATGGTTTTCACATGCTGTCTGGAGTTTTGCTTTAACTGTGGATTTAGAACATAGATAAAACGCTAAACATAAAAATGAACCTGTCACCAAATATGACTAAGAAATTTGCTTCAGCAATAAAAAAAAAGAAAAAAAAGCACGGGAAAAATTATTTCTGTAGTTGACTCTACTTCCTTTTAGACGGTTCTCACTTACCCACTACTTCCTACATGCAGTGCGCACTGTATGCAGAGGAAATAATCACAAATACGTTTCATGTTTATTACCCAACTTTTTGCTTTGACCGGAAATCAGAATGAAGAAGCAAAGTTGTTGTTTTGTTTTTTTTACCACTAGAGGGAGCCGGAACTCATTACTATGAAACGATATACAAATGACTGAAAAGATCTATGATCACTTGAGAAGAGCAAAAAATTCAGAATGTGGAAGTGCTACAAAATACATGTTGGCCTCCCTAATAAATTCTGTGTCACAGATAAAGTAGATGATGTTAAAAAAAGTAATATAAAACCTATACGATTTGGAAAATGTAACAAGCCTCCTACAAAGAAATAATATTGCCTCTTGCAAAGGCAAGCGTGTCAGTTAGAAAAAATGTTGCAAAAGATACAACCATACTACAGTTCTGTATATATAAATTTAGTCTTCAAGACTTGTGGCAAAAATGGGACATACGGCACCCACCCATGTCTGTAGTCTGCATTAAATGTAGCTTTTATTGGTAAAATGTCCCTAAAAAGAACACTCAGGTGCCGCCATACCAGATGCCAATATTTGCTCACATATCTTTTTGTACAAAGATGAGACACCGGTACACTACTTGTCATCTCTCTTCATGTATTCCCAGCTCTTACATAGTCATATACTACATGGCATATTGACTAGCTTTCCTCTCATGTATTCTCTCTCTTATAGCCCTCATTCACACGGGTAACGACCGACCAGTACAGATCCGTGCTGCGTTCACAGCCGTATGGGGCAGCTCCTGGGAAGTACAGGTGCCTCGTGTGATTACACGCAGTAGCTTGTCCTTCTCTATGGGAGTACGTGGCCGTACGCCGCCCTACACTCGCCCGACCTGCACATCCGTGCGTATGTCCCTGCTCGGACACAGACAGGATCCATCCGGCGAGCGTAATAGAGTATGGACACCCCGCACCCATATGGACGTGCAGGTCGGATGAGTGTAGGGCGGCGTACGGCCGCGTACTCCCCTAGAGAAGGACGGGGGCTGCGCCTAAGGGCCGGGCAGCAGGTGGTTATACAGCATGGATTTGGGAATTCCCCATGCCGGGTTATTGTATCCTGACAGTGGCGGATGTTCCGCTGACAGAACAGCAGACTGTTTGGTCGAGAATTTTCGTATTGGCTTCTTTGGCAACAGTCGATTAAAGAGAAAATCAACTCTTGGTGAATGCAGGGGTGCATTCGGCGTCAAAAGGACCGAAATGCAACCAGTGTATGGCCAGCTTAAGAGTCAACCAAGGGCCCCTCACACAGAAATTTGACAAGTATGAGCCGTGCCAAAACAACTGCTTCTGTAAGCCAGGAAAGGGCTGTTACTCACCACTCCAAAGCTGTAAGTGTCCAATTCAAACGTAAGCTTCCCCATTTTCACATACTCCTCAGGTAGATACGCCAGCGTACCCCTCACAGTGCTGGTACGTGCCAAAGTGCGGCTTTTGCCTGCATCACATGTGTACCGACTGAATCGCGAAAGACCAAAGTCCCCTATTTTGGGCATTAGAGCCTGGTCCAAGAGGATGTTGGAACTCTTGATGTCTCCATGGATGATGCTAGGTTGGCAGGTGTGCAAGAACTGGATCCCACAGGCTGCACCCTGCACGATACTCAGGCGCTTCTTCCACGTGAGGGTTGGAAAACTGCCCTGCGAAAGACATATGTTATAACAAACATAGGCAGTGATGGAAAAGTAGCTGTGCAGACCGTAGATTAAAGCAGGGGTATGCTAACCGCGGATCTCCAACTGTGGTACAAATCCCATTAGGCATTGCAAGACAGCCGGAGGGCTGGAGTTTGCCTGTCCCCATCTCAAAGTATATCTAAAGCCAAAACTATTTTTTTTTTTTTTTTAACGAGCGTGTAAGGTTAGCACTTTTTTTTAGGCTTTTTTTGCGATCTGTGTGCTTATCTGGAAGAATTGCGCTCCCTATCTGTCCTCATGACCAGTGACACTGGGACTGAAAGAGAAAGAAAACAAACATGACAGTTGTCATTAGAACTGGAACAGAGTGGAAATCTTCCAATAGGGACACTAGTTCCTGTGACAATTGTTTGCCAAGGGAGTGCCCTTATTTTCAAGAGATCCCTTTTCTCTGCTGTGTCGATGGGACATGAAGTGATGGAAATATCTACGAT